TGATAAATTTAAAATACTGAATAAAATCTATTAAAGTTTACAATGGGTTCCGCTATTTTAGCTTGGAAGAAAAAATTAAAAGGAAGATATGAAATAAATTAAATCGTAACAATAATTTAAATTAATATATTAACTTACATTTCAAATCTGTCGGATACTATCTTCTTGCTGTGTTTCTAATAACAAAATCGATCAAATTGGCTTCCGTGACGTCCAAAATTAAAAAAATTTATGAATAAAACGTCAAACTCATAATATCTGAATTCAGACACCTACTAAATTTTAATATCGGTTTCACTTCTTATTTTGACAACGATCAGCCCTAAGTAATTCAATTCTGACTATGCCATATTCACCACAGAAAAACGTTAGGTGCAAATAAGCAACCATGTCAGATAACGCATACTCAAAAGCTGAATAGAAGCTTTACAATTTTGCGAAATTTAATTTCATAACACAGGGTAATTTTGATAACAGAAAAGCTCTATCACATGATATATACCATCAAGATCCGCTTTAAAAATGTTCAATATGTTAAGTTTGCTTTGCAATTTAAACTATTTTAATCAGCTATTTTGATCAAATACATGAGGTGAAACATTTGTTAAGCTCGTGGAGAAAATCCGAAACTGAACGAGGGACTACACTTTGAAAACAGTAAAATAAAATTAAGGGACTATGGAAATGTTTCGAATTTAAAAAGTCGATATACATAATATACAATTCCTAGGAATATAATTTTTGAAGTGTTTTGCTCCTCTTCAGACAATTGTGTCTTCTCACTGCGCACAATACGGTGTTTATAATATTATATTTAAAAGCTCCTGATAACCAGCGCAAAGTTAAAATAATTTAATACATTCTTGATAACTACCGGAGTAAGAAAACGAGAGTTGTGAGTGTTTCTTTATTTATATTTAGTAAAAAAGTGATCCTCATTTAAACGAAAATAACGGATGAATCTGCAACAAATATTATTTAAAAGCCATTTAGTTGTCATTAAAACTTGTTCTAACTTGGTGTTAGGTTCCAATTGATTTGATTGATCACGAAAGTTTTTCTTATGGACATCAGTTTTGGCTCACAACATTTTACATACGTAATATATATAAATATGTCCCTTATATTAGATTTTTACCTTTTCACGAGCAGTAACTGAATTGAATTGTATTGATTTTCTTTTAAAAATTTTCAGCTCTTTAATTATATGTCAAATCTTAATTTTTAGATTGGCAACACCAATGATATTTGGACTGAAAATAGTTGAAAGTTCGTAATACCAAAAGAGAAACCAGGTTGATCTGAAGTAGAAGCAATTAAACTGAGTGGAGTTGAAAACCATAATAGGGTAAAAATTTGTTCATGAATAAGTTAATAAAAACGCATAAAAAATAATTATGTATAATTTAATTATTTTTTAACATCATTAAAAATTATGGATCAGCTTTAGTATACCATCCCACCATTTGAGGGCTAAGAGGGGTATGGTTAGATAGAGGAGATTCTCCAGATAAAGAATATATAATATAATAATAGCCGCCGGAAACTTGTAGTTTTCGAGATATTTGCATTTTAAGTTGAAAATTTCACAAATTTTATTTTACAATTTCTCGATTTATAGTTAACTTTTATTTTATATTATGCAAGTTATTTTATAGAAGTCCAATTGCTATTATAGCATAGATTATTCTAGGGACCCAAATGTTTCCTTTTTACCCGATTCTTGACTAATATACATGAACCATAATTTTGTTCGTTCCCTTCTCTTTATAAACGATGGTATTGGATTGACCAGTGTTATTTTTTTTTTTGAAGTGCGGCCGAAGGCCGCCAATGCAGAAAGAAGTATGACACGAAAGGGATAACGACCACCCCGGTGTTGGATCGGTCAGGACAAATAGGAAATCTAACCAAAAAAAAGTAATGTTAAAGTGGGTATATCACTCTCTTTAAACTTTATTTTCTATAATGGATTATAACGGATATTGTTACAACAAAACAAGGTACCGTTTCTTTTATTTGATCGTTTTGTCGTTGAAATAGTAAATATTGTGCATATAAGTTAATTTTGCAGAGCGTAATTGGGTGTTTTATTTATTTTGATTGCTTTCATTCGTTTGGATATGGCAACACCTGTTATCTGTCAACATGGAAGTCATTTGTTATTGTGCATATAACTAAAATTGTGTTAAAATAAAATGCTTATACAAAGCAAATACTAAAATAATTAATATAAAATAAATATGTAGAAACATTGTAGTGAAGTGTATAATAAGTGCAAAAATAAAAGAAAAGTCAACTATAAATCGAGAAATTGTAAAATAAAATTTGTGAAATTTTCAACTTAAAATGCAAATATCTCGAAAACTACAAGTTTCCGGCGGCTATTATTATATTATATATTCTTTATCTGGAGAATCTCCTCTATCTAACCATACCCCTCTTAGCCCTCAAATGGTGGGATGGTATACTAAAGCTGATCCATAATTTTTAATGATGTTAAAAAATAATTAAATTATACATAATTATTTTTTATGCGTTTTTATTAACTTATTCATGAACAAAATTTTTACCCCTATTATGGTTTTCAACTCCACTCAGTTTAATTGCTTCTACTTCAGATCAACCTGGTTTTCTCTTTTGGTATTACGAACTTTCAACTATTTTCAGTCCAAATATCATTGGTGTTGCCAATTTAAAAATTAAGATTTGACATATAATTAAAGAGCTGAAAATTTTTAAAAGAAAAATCAATACAATTCAATTCAGTTACTGCTCGTGAAAAGGTAAAAATTCAATATAAGGGACATAAGTTTTGAATTAATTACGATGATAAAAATGTTTGGAGCCAAAACTGATGTCCATAAGAAAAAACTTTCGTGATCAATCAAATCAATTGGAACTTCCTAACACCAAGTTAGAACAAGTTTTAATGACAACTAAATGGCTTTTAAATAATATTTGTTGCAGATTCATCCGTTATTTTCGTTTAAATGAGGAATCACATTGTTTTTTACTAAATATAAATAAAAGAAACATTACCACAAACTCTCCGTTTTCTTACTGCCGGTAGTTATCAAGAATGTATTAAATTATTTTAACTTTGCGCTGGTTATCAAGGAGCTTTTAAATATAATATTATGAACACCGTATTTGTGCGCAGTGGAAAGAACACAATTGTCTGAAGAGGAGCAAAACACTTCAAAAATTATATTCCTAGGAATTGTATATTTATGTATATCGACTTTTTAAATTCGAAACATTTCCATAGTCCCTTAATTTTATTTTTACTGTTTTCAAAGTGTAGCTTTCCTCGTTCAGTTTCGGGATTTTTCTCCACGAGCTTAACAAATGTTTCAGCTTTTTATGTATTTGTACAAAATAGCTGATTGAAATAGTTTAAATTGCAAAGCAATACTGGTAACATATTTGAACATTTTTAAAGCGGATCTTGATGGTATATATCATGTGATAGAGCTTTTCTGTTATCAAAATTACCCTTTGTTATGAAATTAAATTTCGCAAAATTATAAAGCTTCTATTCAGCTTTTGAGTATGCGTTATCTGACGTGGTTGCTTATTTGCACCTAACGTTTTTCTGTGGTGAATATGGCATAGTCAAAACTGAATTACTTAGGGCTGATCGTTGTCAAAATAAGAAGTGAAACTTTTTTTTTAATTTTGGACGTCACGGAAGCCAATTTTATCGATTTTGTTATTAGAAACACAGTAAGAAGATAGTATCCGACAGATTTGAAATGTAAGTTAATATATTAATTTAAATTATTGTTACGAATTAATTTATTTCATATCTTCCTTTTAATTTTTTCTTCCAAGCTAAAATAGCGGAACTCATTGTAAACTTTAATAGATTTTATTCAGTATTTTAAATTTATCAAACGCTTCCTAACTTATTCATTTTCAAGTTTTCTGAATTCGAATATTGGTTTTTCGTATGTTCGAAAAGACGAAAATTCAATGAGATTCTGTGACAACTTAAAATCAGAATTGGTTTGCAATTCTGGCAATTACACAAATCTGTCTTGAATTCCACAACACAACGAAAATTGTGTAAAAATATAATGATTATTTAAAGCACATATTAAAATAATTATTATAAAATAAATATTATATGTAGAAAGATTGTAGTTAAGTGTTAATAAGTGCATAATATAAAAGAAAAATTAACTATAAATCGAGAAATTGTATGATAAAATTTGTGAAATTTTCAACTTAAAATGCAAATATCTCTTACAAGTTTCCGGAGGCTACAATTTTATATATTCTTTATCTTCTCTATCCAACCATACCCCTCTTAACACTGAAATCGTGGGATGGTATACTAAAGTTTCCCCATAATTATTCTATAACCAAAACTGCAAATAGTTATTAACAAAATTACAGTGTTTTTGTTTTTGCGTAACCATTTTTACCTATCGCCACCCTGACTTACCCGAGGCTTTGTCGGATTTTGTTTATAATGTACTGGGGGAATGGTGACATTCCCTCCTACCATGGTAAAACCACAAATCTCTTGAGTGTGACGAGTAGTTTTGAAATTGAACATTTTCAATGTGTTCAGTCTAACTACAGATAAATTAAGTAAAATACGTGCGCAAAGTGTGTTGAACATTATGAAATTACATGCATTAGTTTTACAATTTTGACTTAAAATAACAATATCTCCAAAATTACAAGTCTGAACCTGGTGTATGTATTGTATATATGTTTTAATCTGGTGAACGTTCTCTACCCATTCATATCATCAAATAGAGGCGGCAAGGATGTCAGAATTTCGCCCCGAGGATAACAATAACCGGGTAAAATCCGAATAAATTTCTGCCGTGGGTATTTGGCAGATTTTATGTTAATAATTCTGGCAAGACTCCCTACCAACCTTTCTCTCGATTGCATCGAGTCAGTACCACAGAAGTGGGATTCATATATGCGAAATATTGAAGATATAACGACATGACAACTCTTATTAAAACCAACTTATATACATATCATCCTCTCGAGGCAATAAAATTTGCACGAAGGAATATTTGTTATACCTTTATTGTTATGATATTCTTTATTACCAAGGTAGTAATTAATTTTTGAGTAAATTTCAACTTAATACCCAAGAACTTACAAAAATTTCAGTTTCATTACTCAATAAGCTTTTTTGCTTTAAAATATCTGCGTAAATATAAAACTTGCCATGTAGCTAGACCAAGTAAGCAACACATGCTAAATATGCTGAAAAATAGTACACGACTATTGGTTTTCTCTGCAAATATTCGAAGATTAAATATATAATCATATGTGAACGAATAAAAAAAAACATTTGAGTTTACCATTTGTATCTCTCATTTCTTCTTCCCGTTTTCTCATTAACGCAAAGTCTCTGACAATTGAGTCCGATAAGTCTTCCAACCGTTTCAGTTCCACTTCCATCGGTTTGAGCTTTGCTGCTTCTTGTATCTAAATAATTAAAATATTCCGTAACATTGGTTTTAATCAAATATTTACATAAATAATAATACATCTAGGTATAAGTTTTAAATGGCGAAAAATATGATTTACATTTATTATTGCATGAGGAAAAAGGCAACCAAGAGCGTAAATTTTTACGTTAGGGGGTTTAGACCCCCTTTTTTCACTCATATTCAGCGCAAAACCATATTGTGTTTAAGAAATGTTCATTAACTTTCAATAAAATACCACACATATTGATCAACATAAACGATTTAAAGGCATCTTGAAAGTCGAAAGCTATACTGCTCGCTCTCATGAATTTTTCTGAGTCAATGCTGACCATAAATTGTCAGTTATGACTGAAAATCTATCATAGCTGCCTTTTGTCAGTTATGAATGTAAATTTATCACAAGTGAAAAACACTTTTGCGCAGTAATATTGTAATAATAACCCAACGATCACCCTCCTTCCGCCCAACCGACGCGAGGGGCGCAATCCGCATACGTGCGGAATTAGCGGAGTCAGAAAAGGCAAGAGAGTTTATGTGTTGAGATCTAAAACTGCTCAGCTACAGAAACAAAAATTTTCAATAGCTAAGATTTATAGTTATAATATAATAAATTGTTACATTTTCATTCATTAAGAGAAAACAATAAAGTATTTTTAATTCTGAGAAGTGAGTCAGATAAGTTAAATGTGCTGGAATGAGAATTAAAATCATGATATATACGGTCTACAGGATTGTAACCGTAAAGATCTTAACTGTCTCAAAAAGCGAATCGAGATATTAAATTTAATTTCAGACAGCAGAAAAGAACTGCAAACTGTTCCATTCAAGATTTTCACTAAGAATATTATGCCAAGCATTTCCCTACGACTAGAAAGTGTAGGTAGATTAATAAGTTTTAAACGACTAGTGTTACCTCCATACACTTACTTAGAATCTCATCGGAAATGCGCTAAGGCGAAAAGTAAAAATTGTTTTTGAACAGACTCTAACTTGTCAGAATGGATTTGGTAGTTAGGGTTCCATACAACAGAGCCATATTCCAATATAGGTCTAACCAAAGTTGTATAAAGTGTTTTAGTAATATACGGATCTCTAAATTCTTTAGACCAACTTTTAACAAAACTGAGGACAGCTTTTGCTTTCAAGACCATGGTGTCAATATGAACACAAAAATTAAGCTTAGGGTCCATATTAACTCCCAAATCAACATAGTTAAACACTTGCTCCAGAATATGGTGTTTTATTACATAAGAAGAGGGGTGCATAGATCTACGGGAAAAGCACATCGTCTTACATTTATTCAGATTCAATGGCAAATCATTTCTATCACACCATGCAACCATATTGTTTAATTCTGTATGCAACATACCCCTTTCCTCAGTTGAAGTGTATAATTTAAAGAGCTTTACGTCGTCAGCGTATAATAAAATTTTTGAGAATTCAATTACTGAAGAGAATCGGGCCAAAGGTGACTACCTTGCGGAACACCTGAAGAAACATTAATTGTATCTAAAGGTGTATCCTCAAATATCACTCGTTGTGTTCTACTATAAATATAGGAAGCTACCCATTGAAGAAATCTTGGCTTAAAGCCCAGCAGATCAAGTTTATGTATGAGAATCGAGAGGTTTACTTTATGGAAAGCTTTGCTAAAGTCTGTGTATATAACATCCGCATGCTTATGTTCCCTAAAACCCAATAATACATGGTTTACAAATTCAAACAAGTTTGTTAGAGTCGATTTCCTTTTATGAAATCCATGCTGAGATAAGGAAATTAACGGAGAAATCGAAAAGGTTATATGGTCAGTGATAATAGCTTCAAAAAGTTTAGGTATAACTGATAGTTTTACGATACCTCTATAGTTTTCAATGTTGGACCTAAAATTACTTTTATGCAAAGGAATTATAAATGACTGTTTCCATATTGAAGGAAATATACCGTGTTTAAGAAAGGAATTTAATATCCTGGTCAAAGGCAAGTAAATATAATTGGCACAATTTTTTATTAAGCATGAGGGTATCATGTGTGGTTTTAGGAGAATTATTACAGTAGTTTGACTTGAAAAATTCTGCAAACATATTGGATATAATATCATTGTCACTTGAAATGATATATTTGTATTTCATCGCGGACGGAAATTTGGAAATCCTGCGTTGGAGTTAACGAAATCATAAAACGATTTTAGGTTACGGAAAATATTTTTTTTTAAACCTTATTTAAGAAATTATTATAACATTTTTTGTTTAGGTCGAAATACTGTCGACGCAATACAAAATATTTATAATACTCGACAAGTGAACCGGTATTTTTAAAATGTTTAAAGGCTCGAGTTTTTCTGTTTTTCAATTTATATAACCCTTTCGAAAACCACGGACTTATACTTTTACTTTTATTAACAAATACTATTAGAACATACTTTTCAAACAATTGCGTAAAAATGTTATTAAAATGCAAGACATTCAATTCAATATCATCATTATAATTAGGCCATGTTATTGTAGAAAGTTCTGTATTTAACTTTTTAAAATTAGCTTTTTCGACAGATATTTCCAAAGCAGGATGATATAGTCCTCTGGTAGAACAAGAGGATTATTCTGAATAACGGAACACTTTGAAGAAGTATCAACGTATACTAAATCGAAGCATTTACCAAATTTATTCGGAATCAAATTAATTTGGTTCAGACCCAACTCGGACATTTTTTCGGAAAACTCATTAAAACAAGACCGATTACAAATCGGTACGATATAGTCATCGAAAGCTTTCCACGAAGCACACCGAAAACTAAAATCTCCTAAAACGATTATTGAATCTGCATTATTTGCCAATAAATAGCGCTACTTCGATTTATTAAAGAAGCATGCTGGGGTATATAAGATAGGGTCAAATAAATAAAGCAACTATTAACATAGACTCTAATACATTTAAATTCAAATGAGTCGGTTCCAAATAGAACACCTCCACCGATTCTGTTCAGTCGATCACATCTAAATATTTGAAATTCGCTGTTACAATCTCATTATCATAAATGTGAGGTTTTAACCATGTTTCAATAAATCCAATTATATGGAAATTAAAATTGGAACTGTTTAAAGGTCGGTTAATTTTGTATTAAGGCCTCTAACATTTTGATAATAAATGCTTAGCGAATTTATACCAATCAGTTTTTTATATCGGTAGTTGCTTTTGGTCATTTACTGTCAGTGGTGACAGTATTAAAGCATTGAGCCATTTCATTCTTACACATGTAAGCAATATAATTCGAAGATGTCTCTGTTTAACAATAACAATGTTGATAAATAAAAGTAAAGTGTATTGGTGAACCCATAAGCAGTTTCTTGTAGGGAAATAACCAATATTGCAACTATGTTGTTCTTCTGCAGAAACTCATCTGATACCTAACCCAATCAATGCAAATATTTGGCGCGGCTAACATATGAGAAGTGGAAATCTAAACATAAACTTTGGCTGGAAAAGACATTTAACGTAATATATTATGCATTAGTATATGTATTAAATCACAATTAATGATATTAAAATAAACAGCGATTTCGTTTAACTGTCTTCTTCCATCCTAAATTTTGCTAAAGTGATTTTGTTAGTTTTGTGTTCATCAAATGTCAAAATTTTAAATGCTAAAACGCTTGACGTTTTCAAATGTTGCAACATATTTACATCGAATATGTTGCTTGGCTATATTGCCGCAGTGATTGAGATTCGAACTTTGGGGATATATTGAACCAGTTTAAGAACGTATTAACTCAAATCACCTCTTAATACAAAAGCACATTATTATCAGAGAAAGATGATTATTAATAGCTGTCTCCGATTCGCCAAGCGTTACTATTCAGCAAATCGAACAAATTTTACCAGATGCTCAAACAAATGGGCAGCACTTGTGGTGAAACCCTGAGCTAACATATCTTCTGACGCATACGCAATAGTGGTATTTTTCTTTCATAGTGGAGAAATTGTTTTCGCGTTCGCAATAAAAATGTTGCTGTAACCCTTTATTTTTGTTTTCTATAAATTCTATACTTAATGTAAAGTCTAAAGTTTAAAAATACAAGAAAAAAAATTTGTATTTGCAGTTAAAGGTCAGCAATATGCACTGAGGATCATATATTCAGTATCTGGTGGCTTGACCATTTTTATATGCGAGATACGTAGTACCTCGAAGGGACTATTTTGCAAAGTTGTGTTCTCATATCTTTATTGGTGCTTATTTTATATAATAGAAACAAATGGAATGGAAAATTTCAATTCCACCCATTTTAACACTGTGATATATGGATATCTAAGAGTAGAAGGTGCCACGCACATACACATATTCAATAAAGTCTGCGTTCACCCGTCACTATTTTTTAAGTGAAGTACACACAATGTAAATAGGTAATTCAGTTCAAATTTTCTACATGTATTTCTTCTTTATAAATGCAAAAACAAAAATGTATATTCCTATTTTAATTTTTGTGATAACAGGATTTTAGTGTAAGGAGAAGTAAACATGGGCACCATTAAGTCTGCGTTCAGCTTTAAAATTAGTTACAAAAGTATTAAAAATGATAAGGAAAAATTAAATAATTCAATATTTTGTTGGATAGCCGCGTTGTTTTAAAACCTCGCTCGATCGATTTGGCATTGATCTTACCAACTTATATGTTTTCTCGGCTGTAATCTGGGACCATTCTCTTTTCATAACATTTCGCAAAGCCTCTTTACTTGTTATTGTATGCTGACGAAGATCATCAGATTCCATAGATGCTCAATAGGATTGAGGTCAGGTGATTGTGGGGGCGTTTTAAGTTGCCTAGCAGCATTGTACAAGAGCCAAAGTCTAACTATTTCCGCAGTATGCTTCGGGTCATTATCTTGTTGGAACCAAAACGTCGAAGATAATCCAACATTTGCTTCACTTTGCTTCAAATTGTTTTTTAAAATGATCAAATAACCCCATTTATCCATTGTGGATTCAATAAATTCAAGCTGACC